GCTGGGGGGATTGAACCGTGGTCCCTGTGCTTTGCTTAGCTTAGCTTGTTCTAAGTAGGTGCTTTAGACCACTGAGCCATCTCACCAGCCCCGAAAATGTTAATTTTTAAATGAAATAGCTATACTAATAGAAGGGATATGTAAAAGTATAAGTGTTATTCTATTTTGGAAACATAATATCTGAAGTGACAAGAAAAAAACAGTATAAGCATATTATTTACACTTATGGATATAATCACCACAGAACTGAAAACAAATTAATTATTTCTGCAACGATGTTTATAATTTCAAGAGCTCTTTTAAGTCATCTGAGAGTTCTTTTTTATTTTACCATGCAAACATGCTATTATTTGGATGATAGGGGTTTTTTGGGGTTTTTTTTTGATAGTTTCTTTAAAGCTGTTTGTCTCACTTTGCTTTCTCTGGTCTCCATCTTCTGTGTTAAAGACTTTCCTTAGAAATCTGTGACCCTGCTCATGACAGCGAGAGGGATCCAACAGCTCCTGGCACCTGGTTGGAGATTACGGATAACAGGCGTCACTGCAGATGACCTGCATGGTCTGTCCAGGGTGAACACCTACTTGTTCACTTCAAGTCATTTTTCTTGGATTGGCCAGTTTCTAGTTCCCAGTTTTCCTGGTACCCTACCAGAGGGATAACCCCTCCTCCTGCTGGTGTGGAACAGCTCCCACAACCTAGTCCATAGGAAGATAAAGCTGGAGTGCAGGAGGAGCAAAAAGCAGCAGAGGATCTAGGGACCCAAACCTTGTTTCAGCCCCTGACCCTTCACCCTTAGTTCCAGGGGTACCCAGTGCTTCTCCCACTGCCAACTTGGGATTTGCCTGTGGGATCTGTTAAATGAGTCATTTCAACCATCTGCTCTCCAGCTTCAAAAATGTTGCAGTTGGTTCTTCTCCTATTTATGGATTTATGTATTTTAGTAGTCTTTTTATTGTAGTTTAGTAGAGTTTTGGGGAAGGAACAAAATTTGATGCATGTGTTCATTATGTCATGTTAACTTCACATCTAACCATTTGTTCTTTCATAACAATTACTTGTAAGATAGTTTCCCAAGAGGAGGACATACTTGAGATAATTTTAGGCAGTATGGGAGGTGGTATACAGTGAAATACTTAAGCAATAGCAAGTAACTCTGAATCATAATGGAAAAGTTACTTTCTTGCATGCTTTCTGGTTAACTCTCAGCATGCCAGGAAAAAGTGTATCTTGTTTTTTTCCTTGGGTACTAAGAATTGAACCTAAAGCCTGTGTTTCCACTGAGTTACATGATTAACCTTTTTATTTTCTTGAGCAGAGTCTTGCTAAATTGCTAAGCTGCCCAGGTAGGGCTTGAATTTGCAATCCTCCTGCCTTAGCCACCCAGAATGCTAGGATTACAATAATGTGCCAGGGGGCCGGGGAGATAGCTCAGTAGAATTATGCTTGCCTGGCAAGCACAAGGGCCTGAGTTCAATCCCCAGTTCAGAAAAAAAAAAAAAAAAAAAAAAAAATGTGCCACAATACTTAGCTCCAACATACCTTCTTATGCTTACAGCTAAAGTAATTTTACCCATGGATTTGATCCCTTGTAACACACACACACACACACACACACACACACACACACACTTGTATTTACAGAAGAATGACAGGACAATGTAAAATAAGCTTACAGAAATTTAATTAAATAAGAATACAAACAGCAAACTCAAATTCTTATTCTGATTGTCCAGGTTTTGAAGATACACACATCTGAAAAGGGCAATGTCCTCTACATACAACTGTCAGTAGCTGCCCATGTGTTTTATCAATACTAATTCCAAACTAAAGATGTATCTTTAATAGGTTCTAGCTCAGTCAGTACTTTTGATTCTTTTATTTCTAACTATACCTCAAAATGCAGGGTTTTTGTTTTTTTGTTGTGGTACTGGGGATTGAACTCAGGACCTTGTGCTTGCCAAGCAAGAGCTTATTCTACTGAGCTATCTCCCCAGCCCCAAATGTAGTCATTTTGAAAACTTTGAACAGCTCCAAATTTTGTTGAGGAGAAAATAGCCATTTCCTTTGCAGTATAATTTCAAAATATTTGCATTTGTAGGTTTATAAATACAAATCCAAAGCCAGGTAAGGGCCAGCCAAATAGCCTGGCAGATTAAAGTACCTGCAAGCAGGCACAGAGACTGGGGTTCATTCCCTGGGCCTGTAGTACAGGCCCTGCCCCCAGGGCATGCTGACAGGGCAACTGAGACTGGGTGTGGTAGTGAGTACCAGTAATCCCAGCTCTTGGGAGGCTGTAAACAGGCAGATCACTACAAGTCCGATCTACCTGAACAGTCTGTAGACCCTTCCCTAAAAATAAAAAAAAAAAAAAAAAAAATTAAAATAAAAAAGCCAGGTAAAGTGGTGCACATCTGTAATCCCAGCACTTGAAGCAGGAGGATCACCACAAGTTCAAGAGTAGTCTGAGCTACATACTATGTTCAAAACTAGACTGGGCTACATAGTGACACTGTCTCAAAAATAAAAATTAATCAAATGATCAATCCAATTACTTTTTCACTTCAACAGCACTTACCCCTTTATAAACTATATAAATTTTGGTACATAAACATAACAGATAAGAAATTCTTCCATGTGTCCTCTCAGCAAAAGTAAATACTGTAAGTCAAGGTAGATTCTAAATCTCGTATGATCAATTTGACAACCATCATTAAAGTCTAGAGCACTGGTGGCAAATCTATGGCATGTGCTATTTGTTTTAGGAAAAAGATATTAATATGTGAGCTGTTTTTTCTCAGTGCTCAGGGTTTTTTTGTTTTGTTTGTATTGGGGTTTGAACTCAGGACCTTGTACCTGCCAGGCAGGCATTTATGCTACTAAGCTATTTCCCTGGCCCTCAGTGCTCAGCTTTACTTGCACTGTTGGCACTCTGCAATAAATAAGTAGGTTTTGGGTTACATTTTGGGCATTTGGTCTCTGAAAGGTTCTCCATCACTCACTGGTTTAGAGCCATGCTGTCCAATGCAATCACCACTAGCCACACACAATGACTGAGAACTGGAAATGTGGCAGGTCCAAACTGATATATGCTATAATGTTAAAAATATACACCAGGGCCAGATAGCTCAGTGGCCTAAGCGCCTGCCTGGCAAATGCAAGGTCCCAAGGTTCGATCCCTAGTACCACAAAAACAAAAAAACAAAACAAAAAAGCCCCACCAGATTTCCAAGACCTGTGAGGAAAAATATCATAAAATAATCTCATTACTTTACACTTGATTATGTAATAAAATTTTAGATATCCGGAGTTAAATATAATAAAATTTCACCTGTATATCGTGACTACCAGAAAACGTAAATTCATGCAGATGGACTGTATTATACTTCTATACAGTCTGTCTATAGTACTCATCTGATTTGTCTAAATGTCTTGGCAACTTTCTTTCCTTTATCATTGTGGTCAGAGTATTTTTTTTTAGTCAGAACATTTTTAAAAACTAAATTAATAACTATATTCAGTTAAGGCTAACAACTAAACAAAAACAAAGATACGTGTCCAGACACTCTCTTAAATGAAATATTATGTTTGTATTACTATGTTACCTGTGGTGCTAGGGATTAAACCCATGGCCCCAAGCATCCTCAGCTCTTCTAACATTTCTTTTATTTGATTATTATTATTCTTTTGTGGTACCAGGGATCAAACTTGGGACCTTACTCTTGCCAGGCAGGCGCTTATGTTGCTGAGCTATATCCCCAGTCCCGTAACATTTCTTTTATTTGAGATAGGGTCTCATTATGTTGTGTAGAGTGGCTCTAAACTGGTCACCTCAGCTTCCCAAAGTAGCTGGAAATACAGGTATGCATGACCTTACCTGGCTTTATTTTTACTTTTATTTTTGTACTTGGAATTAATCCCCAGGCCTTTTAACTGAATTACATTAGCAGCCCTTTTACTTTATTTTTACTTTTAGAATTATTATTATTTCTTAAATGTATTTGGTACAGGGTCTCACAATACAGCTGGGACTCCTAGTGATCCTCTTGTTTTCAGCCTCCCCAGTGCTGGGATCCAGCCATGCGCCACCACGCCTGGTCTTCTTGGCTGGCTCAGTGCACCTGAAGGTGGAGCTGGCATAGTACGTAGTGCCAGGGATGGAACCCAGGTCTCTGTGCTTGCCTATGCAGGAGCTTAGTCCGCTAAACTGTCTCACATATTGTAACTTCAGCACTCAGGAGGCTAAGGCAAAAAGACTGCCACAAGGTCTGCCTGGGCAATACACAGCAAGTTCAAGGACAGCCTAAATTATAGAGGAAGAACCTGTCTCAGAGAAAAGAAAAAGAAGTGGTTGCCTCAGCAGTACCTACACTAAAACTAGAACAATACAGAGAAGATTAGCATGGTTCCTGTGTAAGGATGAGACACAAATTCATTAAGTGTTGCATACTTTTTTCCAAAAAAGATCTAAAAACAAACAAAACAGACTTAAATACTAAGTACATAAAAGTTCCGAGAAACAAAATGACTAACGTATGTGGAAGGAAAGTTACGATCAAATTTATGAAAGTAGTATCTGATTAACTGAAATATAGGAAGCAATAGTTTATAATATTCAATAACATGCCCCAAGATTAGAACTAAATACTTAGCTATGAGATGACTGCAAGATACTACAGGCTTGTACTTCCCTAACTCAACAATCAAAAATCCAAACCACTTTGAAATCCAAACTTGTGGGGCTGAGGATTTAGCTCAACAGTAGAAAGCTTGCCTAGCAAGCTGGAAGCCCTGGGTTCAGTCTGCAGCACCAAAAACAAAAAATAAACCTCACCTGAAAGCCAAACTTGTACTCAAAGTTTTGGATTTTGGAGCCATCTTGGACTAGATATCCTCAATAAGCAGTCTACGCAAATATTCCTCAGTCCAATAAAAATCCCCAAATTGCAAATACTTTTATTTCCAAGCACTTCAGATATGGGATGCTCAGTTTGTATTTCCACTGCATAGGTGAAGACACTGATTTCAGAAAGTTAAATGACTCTGTTCAGTCACTCAGAAAGCAGCAAAGCCAAGGTGTGAACTGAGCATCAGTGTGAAGTCATATCTCCTATACTGTGTGCCTACTGGGTTGACTTTGACATATACTTTAGTTTTTTAAATATAAATGTTCTCTTTTCCTGAATAAGAATTTTTTCATTGCTGGGGAGATAGCTCAGCCACTTAGGCGGATGCTTTGTAAGCACAAGGTCCTGAGTTCAATCCTCAGTACCAAAAAAAAAAAAAAAAAAAAGAATTGTTGGGCCGGCCAGATAGCTCAGCAGATTAAAGCACCTGCTTAGGCAGATGCAGGGACCAGGGTTCGATCCCTGGTGTCTATGCCAGTCCCACCCCTGGGGCACGCTGAGAGGGCAATTGAGACTGGACATGGTGGCGTATACCTGTGATCCCAGCACTTGGGAGGCTGAAAACAGGAGGATCACTATGAGTCCAATCTGTGTAATGAGATCCTGTGGACTCTACTAAATACATAAAAAATAAAAAAATAAAAAA